TGCACACAGAGAGTTTTAGAGCAAACTATAAAGTGTCTTTCACTGAGGTTGAAGTTTCTTACTCTCTGAGTGATTAATTTGAAATATTTTTATGTCAGAACTTTGAGCTCCTGATCTAGGCTGAAACTCCAATGTTAGGGGAGGTGTCATTATTGGGTGAGACATTCAACAACAACAAAATTGTTTTTGTATAGAGCCTTTCACGCCGAGAGGATGTCCCAATCGCTGAAACCGAGGTCCTGTCTGTCAGACGCTATTTGAAAAGAAGAGGAAGTTTCTCCTGATGTCCTGGTCAACAATAAGATCAAATTGGTGGGATATTGCTGTGTGAAAATTGTGTTTGCATATAATATTACATGGGGTAATATCAAATGAAAGGATTATAATATCTCAGAGCGAGTGGTGACTCTGATAACATTATTCATGTCATTCCAATTCATGGACCTTCTGCTCCGAAAATAGATTTAAGCTGGAAATCCGTTAAGAAATTGCCCCTGTTATTTCTCATGATTCCCACCTTGTTAAAGCGCTGATCACAGAGACGTACTGAGCAGATTACAGAGTCTCTCTCATCTCCTGGTTACAGGTGGCTTTGATCACAGAATGTTACAGAGGAACATCATCCTGTCCCCCCAATGTGTTCTAGATAAGCTCTTATCCATTTGTCCTCTGCCCCCTGAATGGTTATCAGTTCCTGCCTCTAGCACTGCTGGACAGTATTTGTCAATAGCTCAAAGACCAAACATTATCTGATTCCCAACAATAAAATTATTGTGTAGCTGGATACGATTTAAAAACTTCAGGGAAGGTTTCGTAGAATTTGATAACATCTAGAGTTCAATGCTTGTTGCCATATATTGTCAACATGTTGACTGACTTTGTGCTGACAGGTTTTGCTGAGTTTCCTTGTAATCTGAGCTTCACTGTGTATACTGCACCCAATTCCTGCTTTGTTTCTGCCTCAGTGGAGCGCTCTTTTGATTTGGAAATTACCCAGTTACCTTCTGCCAAGTGTCTGAGATCTTGGTTCTCCTCTGGGTGAGATTTTTGATGGTGGATTCAGGTGAAAGGCACCAAAACAGTGTGAAAGGCTCCTGTGGTGATGTGCACAGTGAGAGTCAGTGCAATGGAGTCCTTATTTTAAATTATTAAATTGTATTTACAATTGGATGTTTTATTTTGAAATTACTGCAATTACTAAATCTCTAAATTATTGAGCCCACCGAAGCAGAAGAATGCACTTTCCACATTAAGAGCTTTGGTAAATTAGACCCCGTAGAGCATTGGAGCCCTCCAGTCTGTGCTGGTGTTTCGCCTTGAGGATTCTCAGATATCTAATCCCTCTATACCGCTCGCTACCTGCACCCTTTAATATACCTCTTTTTCAAGCATCAAACTAATCCTCTTAAAAATTGTTGTACCCTTCTAGAACAAAGAGAATCCAACCTCCAACTGCCCTCTGTGTTAAAGAAATTGTTTTTAACCTCACTTTTAATTAGTTTTGTGATTGACCATAAATTAATACCTGTTGTCATTGACTCAGTGTAAATAACGTTCATAAACCTGCATAATCAATCACATTCATAATCAATCCTCAGGTCACGAAGATTCCTGTATCATCTCAATTTCCTCCTGACTTGTAAATTGCCTCTAGTTCCTCCTAATGGACCAAACATTTGTGCTCTGTGATATTGTATGGTGTGTGATTTGCGTTATTTCTTATTAAGAAATGTGTAAATATAGAAAAAGATCAACCTGGCTCCTTAGTCTGCACTCTCGCCGCCATGACAGAAGTATCCAGACTGATACTCTAGTGCAGTGCGGGGGGGATGCATTGTCAGAGATGCCATCCTTCAAATGAGATGTTAAACTGAGGTCACAGCTGCCTGTTCGGATGAACAGTAGAGATCCTGCAATGTTATTGGAAAAGAAAGGCAGTTTCTCCCGGTATCCTGGTCGATAATCCCACAAAGAAAATTGGTTACTTACTTTGTGGCTGTTTGTGGGCTGATTGAAGATAATTTGCTACATAATTTTATTTATTGCTACTCCTGGCTCCATTTTCGGACTGTCCCTTTGGGGACTGGGGATAATAAGCCCTTCAAAAAAATAACAATAATAATAATTTGGTCACTCAATCCACGACTGTTGGACACTGCTGTGCGCAATTGGCTGCCGCATTTCACTCACAAAATATATAATAAATCCACATGCAGTATATTCTGTGAAGTGCTTTCAGACATCTCAAAGTCTTGATAAAGTTGATATGTCAAATGCAAGGATTATTATTATTACATTCGTCCACAAAACACACAATCAGTACACTTTATACTATATCCTGCGAAGCGCTTTGAGACATCTCCTCACATTAAAGCCATTGTATCTAATGCAAAGATTATTCTTGTAAATGTTTAAAATAAAAATAATTCTTGAATATTACATATTGCCTTATCAACAACAACAACAACAAGATTCCATTTATTGAGCGCCTTTCACGTCGGGAGGACGTCCCAAGGCGCTGTACAGTTAGGTCAGGACCCGAGCAGGGGGGAAATGGTCAGGGTGAGGGGAGGGAAGGGAAGGAGCGAGGAGGGGGTAGAGATTCGAGAGAGGAGCTGAAGGCACCGTCAAAGAGAAAGGTCTTGAGACCGGCCTTGAGGGTGGAAAGGGAGGAAGGTGCGAAGGCACTGGGGGATAGAGTTCCAGAGCCTCGGGGCTGAGAGGCTGAAGGCCCGGCCACCGATGGTAGGGCGGTTAGGGCGGGGGATGTGGAGGAGACCGGAGCCAGAGGAACGGAGGGTACGGGCAGGTAGGTAGGGGTATATTAGGTCGGAGAGGTAGGAGGGAGCAAGGCCGTGAATGGCCTTATACGTGAGGATGAGGATCTTGAAATCGACCCTCTGGGGGATGGGGAGCCAGTGGAGGCGAGCGAGGGTGGGAGTGAAGTGGTCCCGAAGCCTGGTGCGGGACAGTACACGAGCTGCAGAGTAGTTGAGGGTTAAGGATGTGGCGGAGTCTGGCAAGCGCTTTGGGACGTCCTCCCGACGTGAAAAGCGCTATATCAAATGCAAGGATTATTATTATTATTATAATGTTGAGGAGGTGTGTCTCTCTATGTATTTGTGGAGTCCTGTAGCTTAGTGGTTAGAGCACTCGCCTTACAAGCGAGACACCTGAGTTCAATTCCAGGCAGCATGAAACCTTGGGCAAGTTTCTTTACTCCAAACGCCTAATAATAATCCCTCCAAAATAAAACAATAATAAATTGGTCATTTTCAATCCACGACTGTTTGTGGGACACTGCTGTGGGCAAGTGGCTGCCGCGTTTTGCCCACAAATATACAGTCAATTCACTTTACAGTCTAATCTGTGAAGCGCTTTGAAACGTCGAGAAGACGTGAAAAGTGCTATATCAAATGCAAGGATTATTATTATTGTCAGTGATAGTGACATCCGAGACGCTGAGGCCCCGTGTGATCACAAGGTCGAGCGGGTGGCCGTGGGTGTGGGTAGCAGAGTGGATGTGGAGGGAGAGGTTGAGAGAGGAGAGGAGAGGAGAGAGGAGAAGTCTGAGGAGGTGGAGCAGCAGCGGGTGAAGTGGAGGTTGAAGTCACCCAGAATGATGAGGCGGTCGGAGCAGAGGCAGCTAGAAGCTAGGAGGGTGGAGATGTCAGAGATGAAGGTGGGATAATTTTGGGGGGTGGTAAAGTAGGACAATTTTTAGTGAAGGTTGGCAGAGGGTAAGGTGTTCAAAAGAGGGGAATGAGACAGAGGAGTAGGGGGGTATGGCAAGTAATGCCCTGGAGATGAGGGACACACTACCACCACGGCTGTTGCGGTGTGGGGCCTGGTGGTAGGTGTAGCTGGGTGGTGTGGCCTCAGTGAGGGGGAAGGTGTTGCCTGAGGTGATCCAGGTTTCAGTGAGGGCCATAATGTCAGTGTTCTCATCAAGGATGAGATCATTGACGGCCAGGAACTTATTGCAGATGGAACGGACATTTTGAAGGCCAATGTGGAGTGGACAGTTGCGAGGGGATGTGTAGGATGGGAGGTGGTAGTGGATTGGTTGGCAGGGAGGGTGGGGATGCGAATGAGGGAGGAGAGGTTAGCCCCCGGGGTCTGGGTCTGGGGTGGCTTGCGGCGGTATTGGGGAATGGGGCAGTCGGTGTGGCTGCTGCAGGACAGCCAACGCTGAGTGCCACAATGAGCCCGGCAGAGGATTCCCAGGCTGGAGCAGAGGGAGGCAGTGGTGGGGGGGTGTCAAGCAGAAATAGGAGGTGGGGAGGTCGGAGAGAGAGAAGGACAGAGCGGGAGAGTTGCAGGGAGGGGGCCATTTTGAGGGAGGCAGGTCGGGGGCGGCAGCCAAGATGCGCACGCTGAGATGAGAGGCGGTGGATTAGTGGGACATGGTCAGCCTGCAGGAGGCTGTGGGGGCCAGAGGTGGCAAAGAGTGGGGAGGGCGCGCATTGTGGTTAGCAATAAGACTGCTTACCTCGGCTAGGCTTCATACCCTCTGCTAGGCCTCATCTCCTCCCCGCACTGTCAATACCTATACCTACCACCAATAATTAATAATTACACATTGCTCATTATGTATCAGCAAGGAATTCTGTTCATTTTAATTTCATCAGGCTGGCTAAAGAAACGCTTATTGCGGACAGAATCCTGCAGATTGCTGTCTGGCGCTGCTCTATTGATTTTTCTCACTGCTAACCAGTTATAGGTCACTGGGACATCACAATTCAGGCACCGTTGTTAACCTCCGTCGTAGAGGAAATGACTTGTCAAACTCCTGGATACCATTCCCTGTGCACCGGCTCTAATTTGCATGTTACACAATAGAAGTGAAGTAGTGCCAGAAAGCAGACAATGGATGGAGTGTTTGCGCATTCAATACAAGTTATAAATTCTTTCACACTCAGTATTTCCTCGTTCAGGGATTTTCTGGGTGTGCTCTGCTGCTATTTATTGGGTTGTTCATTCTGTTTCTGCTCTTTTAGGTTATCGCCAGCAAATCAAAACATTACAATGCGTACCGATCCGGCAAATAGCTCCGACCCGACCGTACGGCTGCGCCAAAATACCTACCATGTGGAACGAGAGCTGCTGAGCGTGGAGACCCTGGAGGTGCTGACCAAACGGTCAGAGAAGGTTGAAGTGCCGATCCAAGATAGACTGAAAAAACACCTGGAGTGAGTAGTTGATTTCTTACTCATAAAAACATGGAATAAACTATAACAACTTTCATTTACATAGAGTAGGGTAGTGTTTCGTGGTTTGGATAATCAAGGCTATAGAGAAATCCTTTTCTATTTTAGTGAAGACCAAATAGCCCATGTGTACCTCAGTCTGTATGTATACATCTCACTTAACAATGCTTAATATTATCCAAACCAGATAGCGTTCCGTGTGTGCCACCTAAACATGGAAATTCATGGATTTAAAAAGGAATGTGTGTTTTCTCCCCAGAGGGACATACCCTGCTACCTATTTCTGGGCGTATTCAGCACAGGTTGGTGAGAGTCAAGGTTTAGCATCCGTAGAGTGTGTGTTGGGGGTAATTGCTAGAGTCCAACTAACTAAAACAGCATTCTCTGGCAAGCTTCTCGCTGCGTGTCTGGCTAGGACTACCCTAGCCATTAGGGCTTTGGTTTGCAGGGTAAAGGGAGCAGGAAGTATGTCTACCCCCAGTGACTGGTCTGCATATATCACAGAGTTAAACATCATTTGTGTCAGTCTGGTTCACCTCTGAGTCAGAAGGTTTTGGGTTTGTGTCCCATGTCGGGACTTGGAATCAAAGTCTAAGGTGACACTCCAATACGAGCAGGAAACATAAAAGGGAACCCTAAGGTATTTTATAAGCATATCAAGAGTAAAAGGTTAGTCAAAGCTAGGGTGGGTCCAATTAGGGACCCTAGTGCAAATCTTGTTTTGGCAGAGGGCATGGTTGATGTACTAAATAGGTACTTTGCAACTGTCTTCACAAAAGAAGACAATGCCACAATTTCGCAGGTGTTTGAATAGAAATTGGATATGATAAAAATCAGTGCTCAACATAGATGAGTCACCTGGTCTGGACGGGATGCATCCTAGGTTACTGAGGGAAACAAGGGTGGAAATAGCGGAGGCTCTGGCCACAATCTTTCAATTCTCTTTGGACACTGGAATTGGTGCCAGAGGATGAGAAGGTTGCAAATGTTACTCCCCTGTACAAAAAGGGGCAGAAGGCAAACCCCGAGAACTACAGGCCAGTCAGCCTAACATCAGTAGAAGGGGAAACTTCTGGAGACTATAATCGGGACAATATAAATTCTCACTTAGATAAATATGGTTCAACACGGATTTGTTAAAGGCATATTGTGTCTAACAAACCTAATAGAATTTTTTGATGACGTGAGTGAGAGAGTGGATGAAGATAGTGCAGTAGATCTAGTTTATCTAGATTTTGAAAAAGGATTTGACAAAGTAAAATAGACTTATAAACAAAATAGAAGCCCACGGTATTAAAGGGACTGTGGCAACATGGATCCAGAACTGGCTGGGAGACAGAAAACAGAGAGTGGTAGTAAATGGTTGCTTTTCTGACTGGAGGGAGGTGTGTAGTGGTGTTCCCTCAGCGGTGGGTATTGGGACCACTGCTCTTTCTGATCTATATTAATATAAGAACATAAGAATTAGGAGCAGAACTAGGCCATTCGGCCCTTTATGCCTGCTCCGCCATTCAATAAGATCATGGCTGATCTTCTCACCTAACAACAACAACAACAACAAGATTCCATTTATAAAGCGCCTTTCACGTCAGGAGGACGTCCCAAGGCGCTGCACAGTTGGGTCATGACCCGAGCAGGGGGGAAATGGTCAGGGTGAGGGAAGGGAGGGAGCAAGGAGGGGGGAAATGGTCAGGGTGAGGGGAGGGAAGGGAGGGAGCGAGGAGGGGGAAGAGAGTCGAGAGGGGAGCTGAAGGCACGGTCAAAGAGAAAGGTTTTGAGACCGGCCTTGAAGGAGGAAAGGGAGGAAGCAAGGCGAAGGCACTGGGGGATGGAGTTCCAGAGCCTGGGGGCTGAGAGGCTGAAGGCCCGACCACCGATGGTAGGGCGGTTGGGGCGGGGGACGTGGAGCAGACCGGAGCCAGAGGAACGGAGGGTACGGGCAGGTAGGTAGGGGGATAGTAGGTTGGAGAGGTAGGAGGGAGCAAGGCCGTGAATGGCCTTGTAGGTGAGGATGAGGATCTTGAAATCAATCCTCTGGGGGATGGGGAGCCAGTGGAGGCGAGCGAGGGTGGGAGTGATGTGGTCCCGAAGCCTGGTGCGGGACAGTACACGAGCTGCAGAGTTCTGAATGACCTGCAGCTTGTGGAGGGAGGTGGCGGGAAGGCCGGCGAGGAGAGAGTTCCCATAGTCCAGCCTTGAGGTGACAAAGGCGTGGACCAGGGTTTCAGCAGCGTGAGGGGTGAGGTAGTGCCGTAGTCTGGCGATGTTCCGAAGGTGATGGAAGGCGGTGCCAGTTGTGGTGCGGATGTGAGGGAGAAAGGACAGCTCAGGGTCGAACAAAACGCCGAGGTTCCTGACTGGCTTTGAGAGGTGGAGAGTGCAGCCTTGGATGCTGATGGTGTCAGCGCCTGAGGTGCGGAGGCGCTGACGTGAGCCAATCAGGAGGGCCTCGGTTTTTCGCACGTTGAGCTGAAGAAAGTTGTCTCTCGTCCAGGACTCGATGTCGGACAGGCAGCTGTCAGGACATCGGTGGTCGTGGAGTTGAGAGTAGAGGAGGAAAGGTAGAGTTGGGTGTCATCCGCATACATGTGGAAGTTAACTCCATGTCTGCGGATGATGTCACCGAGGGGGAGCATATAGAGGGTGAAGAGGAGGGGACCGAGGACAGAGCCCTGAGGGACACCACATGAGACAGTACGGGGGGTGGAGGAGAAGCCATTCGTTGAGACAAAGTGAAGACGGTGAGAAAGGTACGACCTAAACCATTCAAGGACAGTGCCTTGAAGGTTGAGGTGGGAGGACAAGCGGTGGAGTAGGATAGCGTGGTCGACCGTATCGAATGCTGCCGATAGGTCGAGGAGGACGAGGAGACAGAGGGAGCCCTGGTCACAGATGGTCAGGATATCATTGGTGACCTTGACCAGGGCAGTTTCTGTGCTATGGGCAGCACGGAAACCTGACTGAAGGGGTTCAAAAAGAGAATGGGTGGAAAGGAAAGAGCGCAGTTGGGAGGCGACAACTCTTTCCAAGACCTTGGAGAGAAAGGGGAGGTTGGAGATGGGCCGGTAGCTTGATAGCTGCGACGCATCAAGGGAGGGTTTTTTCAGGGTGGGCGTGATGATGGCAGTTTTTAATGGAATGGGGACAGAGCCAGAGGAGAGGGACAGGTTGATGATGTCAGTGATATGTGGGGCAAGAAAGTGGAGCTGGGAGATAAGGAGTGGAGTGGGGATGGGGTCAAGGGAGCAGGTGGTTGGTTTTAGGGATAGGATGAGTTCAGTGACAGAGGGTGGGGAAACGGGTACGAAGGTGTGTAGGGGAGGATGGGTAGGAGTCGGAGTGTGGGAGGGAAGGGGTGGGTGGTGGGTGGAAGTTGGAGGGGAAGTGACCGCGGAGCGGATTCCCTTGATCTTGGATTCAAGGAAATCCAGCATCTCCTCGCAGTGAAGGTTGGAGGAGATGACCTGCGCGGGGTGGCGGGGGGGACGGAGGAGTCGGGTTGTGGTGGAAAACAGTAGCCTGGGGTTGTTCTTCGCCTCCAGGATTATCCTGGAGTAGAAGGACGACTTGGCCGAGGCTAGAGTGGAGCGGTAAATTTTGAGGAGGTCCAGCCAGATTTGTCGGTGGACCGTTAGGCCAGATTTGACACAGGTGCGTTCAGCAGCCCGCACCTGGCTTTTCAGTGAGCGGAGGTGGGTGGTGTACCAGGGGGAGGAGCGGGAGTAGGAGACAGTGCGGGAAGTGATGGGGGCAAGAGTATCGAGTGTGGAGGAGAGGGTATTGTGGAGGAGGGAGAGAGGAGAAGAGGGGTCGGTGAGGGTTGAAGGCCAGAGGGAGAGGAGTTCAGAGGACTCCAAGGCATCGGTTAGGGATTGTGGGGGTAACTTCTTCCAAGGGCGGTAGAAGATGGTGGTGGGTCTGGTGGAGGTGGGGAGGGGGGTGGAGGTGGTGAAGGAGATGAAGTAGTGGTCAGAGATGGCCTTGTCGGTAATAGTGACATCCGAGACACTGAGGCCCCGGGTGATCACCAAATCGAGTGGGTGGCCGTGACTGTGAGTGGGGGAGTTTATGTGTAAGGAGAGGTTGAGTGAGGAGAGCAGGGAAGAGAAGTCTGTGGAGATGGAGCAGGAGGGGGTGAAGTGTAGGTTAAAGTCGCCCAGGATGATGAGGCGATCGGAGCAGAGGCAAAGAGATGTGAGGAGTGTTGAAATGTCAGAGATGAAGGTGGGAGAGGTTTTAGGGGGCCGGTAGAGGAGGAGGATTTTAAGGGAGAGGAATGAGGGGTGGGAGAGGGTGAGGTGCTCAAAGGAGGGGAAAGAGCCAGTGGAGTAGGGGGATAGGGCAAGTGGTGTCCTTGAGATAAGGGCAACACCACCGCCACGGCGGTTGGGGCGGGGATGTGGTGGGAGGTGTAGCCGGGTGGCGTGGCCTCCGTGAGGGGGAAGGTGTCGCCTGGGGTGAGCCAGGTTTCTGTTAAGGCCATGATATCAACGTTCTCATCAAGGATGAGATCGTTGATGACCAGGGCCTTGTTGCAGAGGGAGCGGACATTTTGCAGTCCGATGTGGAGGGAGCGGTTGACAGAAGGGTGTGTGGGAGGGGAGGGGGGTCCAGGTTGTGAGGCAGGGGTGGGGGGAATGGGGATGAGGGAGGAGAGGTTGACTCCCCGGGTCTGTGTCCGGGGTGGGTGGCGAGTGTGGTGGGGAATGGGGCAGTCGGTGTGGCTGCTGCTGGACAGCCAACGCCGAGTGCCGCGGTGAGCCCGGCGGAGGATTCCCAGGCTGGAGCAGAGGGAGGTTGTGGGAGGGTCAAGTGGGGATAGAAGACGAGAGGGACGGAGAGAGAGGAGGAGAGAGCGGGAGAGATGCAGAGGGGGGAGGGTTTGGGGGGAGAGAGGAGGGGGGCGGGAGGGAGGGGGTGAGGGGGCTCGCGTCAAAGCGGCAGCCATAGTGCGCACACGGGGACCGGGAGCGAGCGGTCAG